GGATGTTCAGTTCGGAATCACTTTAAACAGAGAGGGAATAGTGCGGGAAAAACACGTAACATTATGCTCCCCAGACACGTACAAGTGAGTTCCAGTGAATTCAAACAAAGGATTACAAAAAAAACTATCCTGACGTTGAATAGCAAACTTATTGTAGAGTCTTCCAATTCTTGCCTGAACCCCATGTTGAATCCCACGATCAAAAACGCAGGCTCGTGGCTCTCATAGAACGTAGTGAAATGCCGTAGCCCATACTACTGAGGAATCCCGAAAAGCGCTTTAATGATGCACATCTCATTAAAACCATCTTCTTCCTGTCGTGAGGGAATTCAATAGAAAGATATTACGGCATTATACAACCCATCGGACGCACCAGAAATGAATTCAAACTAGGTAATGCCCATATTCATCAAGTCCCATCACGATCAGTGTTCAACGCAAGTGGCGTTCTAACGTTATTAGATGCATGAAGCGAAAAACGAAGCCCGAATCAAATCCCACTCCGACGTTAGACCACACCTGCTCCCTACTTACGAATTTCTTAATCTTTTACTCACTCACGACACTCTGCAGGCGGGATTCCACGATAAAACTACGAGAATTCTTAGAGTTCCTTCTCGCCGACTTGAACAACTGACGTCGTCATAGTCGACATATCGCTCAGGACACGACGTTGAACATCGGTGACGCGCTCTACCAACTAAGCTAAAAAAGACATAGGGAAGTGCGTTCAAGGCACGTCTGGTTTCCCTCGTAGGCCGATGCCCTGCAGTGATATAGCTTTTCATAGCGACCTTGCTTGGTAGAGAAACATCAGCTCTAAACACTGGGTGGATTGCATTGTCGGTCGTGCATGCATGCATCAAGTAATGAATACTTCCTTGCTTATTCATATCGACTCTATCAATTGAAGTGTCAAGCATCACTAAGTGTTCAGAGTACACTACTAACGACAGCATAAACGAGTGTGATGAGTTGTATGAAGGGGAGATAGTGGTCTGGGGAAAAGGTGTAGAATATGAGCGAGTGATGTAAATGTATGAATATACGTGGAGCGAATGTGACTAGAGTATAGAGAACGAATGTCTTCCTTGATATGGATGGGATATGCTGCGGAAGAGAAATAGGTATAGTGGATATATATGTAACGAATTCTGAGATAGGAGGCATTTTGGTTCGGTGAGTCAGAATGCCGATTTTGGGTTGGTATATTCGTGCCGAGTCGTAAACGTCATTATATGATTAGTGAATTGAGTTGTCGAGCTGAGCCAAGCCGGTATCGCGTCTATGTCTCCCAGTCGAGGATGAGAGGCGTTGTTTCTTGAATTCTAAAGCTGATGGTTGAGGCCGGAGAGATAGAGACCGTTGGCTGGCCTAGGTGCTCCACCTCGGGCTACACAAATCGAAAATCAGGACCAATGCGAACTGAACACTATAGAAAACAAACCGCATCCCGAGGTGTGGTGATAACAGGCATGACCGTACTCGAAGGCGACGTCACTCCAGCTTCCAATAAGTCCGGTTTGGGTAGAGGTGGCGGTATTGTTTGCGGCGCCGTACCCGTATCCTCAGCGTCCTCCTCATTTGTACTCTTCAGCGGGGACCGCCCACGTGAGAGCGGAAGCACAGGACCCGCGGGGATGACAAGGCGTAAGTTGAGGATAGGAGTCCGGTCATCATCCACATCGTCCCCTTCATTGCCCTCATGATCGTCCTCACCTTCCTCAATGTCGTCATCTCCATGATGGGCGACATCGACGGCAAAAGCGACAGAGGAAGAACGCGACGCCGACGAGCGACGCGAGTCCCCTAGACCCAAGGGGCTGGTGTAGAAGTTGGTGTGAGGAACGGCATAGGATATGGGATACCGTGGGGATGTCGGGCTAACGAGGAGGGAGTCTGATGCAGAGCGGGAGGAGGATGGGTCGAGGCGAGCGGAGAGGCTGCGGTTGTGGAGGTTGAAGGGGAGTCGTGCGTGCAGGTTCACCATTTTCCTGCAATAAATTAGGTTAGGACGCCGGGGGAAGGGCAATGGACGGACCCTTCCTTTGCACGGACGATGCGGGTGAGCCTGTCCTGTAGAGCGCGTTGTCGCCTGGTAGTCTCGTCGTCGACATTGGGTCTGTGGAACCACGGGGTGAGTGGACGACTGGGTGGAACGGGTGGAGTACGTACTGCTGGGGCTCTGTGGGAATGAGGTATGTGCGCTCATCTGGATGGGTCTACGCAGCATCAGAACAGGCCAGCAACACTGGCACAGAACTTACACGCGAACGTTTCTTGGGCAGGCAGCAGAGTAGGCTGAGCATCGTGGTCGTGGTCGACCCAGAGAGAGAGCGCTCGGCATCCTCCGGTCCTCCATTCTCTCTTCGTCTGCTACACAATCACTCTGTGTTGGTACAATTGATGCCTGCAGCAAACACACGCAAATACTCTTATCGCAATGCTAGCCAATAGACCATGAAAATATCTCTTCCTGCCAATGTACCCGGGCCTACACTATCGCTACTCGCGCTCTGCTTGCTGTTAACGCGTGGGGTAGCGAATTGATGGTGTTACGTAACAACCATGCATCCTTCTTAGCTCAGTTGGTAGAGCGCGTCACTAGTATCTTATGCGATGACGAGGTCAGTCGTTCAAGTCGGCTAGAAGGAAGGTATAATCACGACTTTTTTATTTACCGAAAACCTCATCGCATCATGGCCGAAGATTCGAGGATGGTCCTAATCCAAAGCGTTGTTGATCTTGTATGTACTCTATATACCCACCTGATCTTGTTAGTGCAACTATGTGATCGTCCACCATTGGGAACTACTCAGGCATTGTTTCTTCGACTCCAAGGCAAAGTTCAACCCGCCAAATGGTGTGCACACTTCTCACTTCCTTCAGACTTCTTCCGACCCTTATCTCAGGGTCCATCAGACGTTTCTCATATATCGTGCTGCTTACTGTTTTCATTCTTAATATTAGCCTCCAAGACATGGGGGTTTTGGAGCGTTCATGGGTCTTTTGGATTCCATTCGGCAGTATGCAGTTACGCGGGTGTTGACAGAGAAGAGAGACAATCGGATGGGGCTGGCGGCGTTGAAGGTCCGGTTTGTGGGTCAACAAAGAAAGGGGTGATAATTATGCGAGTGCGATCGCTTGTGTCGATCATTGAGGCTTCCAAACTGAAGTGAGATCCGTGAGGTTGAGGAACAACAGGGCTGAGCTATCTGGAGAGGGAGAGGTTGTAAAGTAACTCAGCACATAGACGAGCCCTGGTGTTTATATACAGTTTTTTGCTTGGAGCGAGCGACGCATTCCTCCTGGCTCCTACTGCGCGTTCACTTCCTGTTCCGCCTCTGGATATCATTGACGGAGGGGAATCCCGCGGGCGCATCCCCAGCGGTAGTTTGGTTAACACTGTAGAGACCCCAGCTCAGCCACCCATGAAAACGGATGCCGACCGGCGTTTCGTACTAGTATCAATAAGGCGCCCACAAGGCGTCCACTAACATATAAAATTGGATTTTGTTTTGAGAATCCCTCATTATATTGCCATTTCGTTGTACTATGAACGTCCGTTTTCTTTCTCTCTTTGACTTACACCAATTACAACATAAGTGCGATACAAAAACAATAGGTATTTTCGTAGTTTGAATTTCATTATGAAGTTCAGTGGTTAGAGGAATAACCAGAGTCAAGAGGTCCCATCAATGGCTATCATGAAGTTGAAGGAGCTCATACAATGAGCGCGGGAAGGCGGGGTCCGATCAGCGTAGACCCATGGACCGGTAGAATTATGCCTCTGTAAGTATTGGCACATACGTTGGTGGATTTCCGAGGGTACGCTATGACTTGGGAGGTAGGGCCTTGTAAAGAGCATGTCCTTCTTAGCTCAGTTGGTAGAGCGCGTCACTAGTACATACCATGTTTGTATTTATATGACGAGGTCAGTCGTTCGAGTCGGCTAGAAGGAATCCCAATGGGTAAAATTCGTTTTTTCATGATCAGGGCCAAAATCGGCAGTGTTTGTGCAGAGTGCGGTCGCCACATACGTGCTTACCGTCCTTTGAATTCAACATCGCTGTGTCATGTCAAGAGGGAGAATCGTGATGCATGATGGTTGATGGCGGCATTGTGGCACACCTAGCGACGCACACTTACGGCAAGATCAGTTTCTTCTATAAGTGAAATACTGGTGCAATCCCTTTCATAATCCGATTTTTCGATACAACGAGGATGCTGGAGCCCGATATTCACGAGCAATACACGACCTGATGGGCGTTAAATTCGCTGATTTATCGGTCGGAGCTTGAGTGTATGCTCATCGCCGATACAACGCACAGTGCCCCTCGGGAGTGTAGAGACGGTGATACCCGAAATTATAAAGGTATTCACAGATCAGTGTGAGACTGAAGTGTTGTCAGTTATTAAGGGTAATGGAAGAGCACATGCCTGTATTGGGGATGATAGCCTCCTCGACGCTGAAGGCTGAGGAGTCGTTACTGCTTGTGACACCCCTATGCATGACCGATGAGGACGCCATCCATATTGCTTGTGCTCCCGATACTTTCTTCGAGGCCTTGATGGAGGATCCGGGTGAGATGGTCCAGGTCTTAACGTCCTTGTCCTGGTAGCTACTAACAGCAGTGGGTCAAGGATCTTAGAGGTATGAGACACTGGTTATATCTTCAAGCGAGCCTCCCATGTTGTAGATATCCATCACAGAACTCGCGTCGACGTGAGGACACAGCTTAAAAGTTTTGCGTTTGAAATAGTGAGTGGCCCTTGACCTTGCCTAGATGTTTGTGTCTTATGTTGTTATTAGTATCGGCTACTCATCTGGCTTGGATCGTGTGTGAACAGGGCAGTGCTACTGCAAAGATGATAATGGAAGATGCTCTTCTGCTGTGGGCCTTCTGGTAATCCGTATTACATCCGTTGAAAGTAGGTGATTAGAAGGAAAGGCTGAATATCGTTCTGGTAGGGCTTTATAGACTTACGTTTCCGGAAGCATTGAAGGTGCGGAAGTCAAGATAATGCTCAGGGATGTTTTCGGTATCCTGGTCCATTGGCTCCTTGGCGTATTCATAGTGGTTTGAACACAGATGAAGGGAAGGCGGATGGACTTGACGAGGTTAAACAAGTTGGAGTGCCGAATGGATGGAAGCTTCGCTCGGGACGCTGTTGGAGCAGTTAATCGAAGCCAGAAAAGTGCCAGGGTAGCTCGGGTGGTCGGCGCGGGTTTTCAGACGGCTGGGACGGCTGGATATGGTGTTGTCGTAAGTACTATATCCTTCTTCATTCAGCTCGTGGGAGTGCTGCTAGTATTGGTAAACTGGATATCAATGATGGGGTCAGTCATTTAAGCTGGCGAGAAGGAATACCCGATAAGTGAGGGGCTTTGTGGGGTAAGGCGTGGCGAAGACCGCTGCACAAAATAGCTATTTCATTTATGCTTATATTTTTGTGCGGTGTGATTAACGGACTGGTGATCATCCGGTGAAAAAGTCCCAAGGAGGATTATGTGATTTGGTCACACTTATACTGGTGTGTGGGTGACGTTGCTTGCTCGGGAATTTCATCCACGTACTTCTGGAGTACATCAACCGAGGCACTACGGGAATTGCCGGAGAAATTCAGATTCAGCAAGATTGGAACTTGTGAGTCGAAATGGCTATCCATATTTCTCAGTTTTAACACAATATTCTCACTTATTTACGATCAGTTCACCTATCCTCAGAAACCCCACGGGGGGATTTTTCACTGGGCATTGCGTTTCAGGGAAATAGGTGTTACGTCATACTCAACCCACCATGATTCTCGAACCTTGTACCCCTCTTTCCTGCTCTCATTGAGTTGACCACATTGCCACACCTCTCGTTCACATGGGGTATCTAAATTCACTCCACCGGAACACTTGCGATATCAGTGTATTGGGTGTCAATGTGGAGGAAGGAAATATAGGTAGTTCCGATGATGATAGATGGTTCGTGGGAAATGAACCATACTAGCATCCTTCGTCCTCGTTTCTCCCTTCCGATGAAGTCGAAGGGATGAGGGTGTTCCTGCGATCTCCGCGGACGGGCTACAAGGCGGTGGGAGGGTGGGCTCCGACTTAGCCTACATAAGAGTCATATAGCAAGCACAAGTCCGTTGATTTCTAGATGAATCAATCGCTATAGGATTGATCATTACCGCTCATGACGGCATGGTTCTCTGTAACATGGCAATACTTGGTTCTTGGACTTTATTACATGTTAATATGGACTCAGAGGTGACTAGTGACCGTTGATAAGTGACGGGCAGGGCGATAGGTAGGATGGGTTTGAAGTTCTTACGCCAAACGATCTGGACTCTAATAATATCAAAGTAAAAATCATCCTGTATTTTCGAAAATAACTGGGATTTGTTGATATTCTTCAACACTCCGAGCCGTTGAGGACGCTCCGAAGGAGTCTTCGAAACAACGTTTGGAGTCAGACATCGTATCCCTGCCAATATGCCGTCTTCGGTACCGTGGGCCTTCCACCGAGCTAGTCATGTGACTGAATCCACCAAATGAGATTCCTGACTCAAGACTCAACGCTGTGAGTTTGATTGTGCATATATATATACCTATTGCTTCGGAGCGGTATGTTCATCCAAATTTTCATCTCGAACACACTGTTCCTCTCATTCAGATGTCTGACTCTCGCCCTAGGAGTACGGATGAAAAGGGTACTGCAGTGGAGCCCAAGTCCAAGCTGGGTTTCTTCCGCCGTGCAACATCACAAAAGCTTTCCAAGCATGAAGACCAGTCGTCGCCACAGGTTCCAGAGGCTGGTATCGAGGGGGTCACGGAGGTCTCTCCTGTGGGCTTCTTCCAGCTTTTCCGGTGCGCCCCCACAGGCTCTGGCCTGAAATATGCTGATTTCCCTTTTCTAGATTTGCCACCAAATTCGAAACCACCATAAATATTCTAAGTCTCATTGCCGCCGCTGCCGCCGGGGCTGCCCAGGTGAGCATAGACATACATACAATGCGCTCGATGTTCACCATTCTCTCAGCCCTTGATGACCTTGCTCTTTGGTAACCTCACGCAAGACTTCGTCTCATTCACAGCTGTGTTACGTGACTCATCCAGGAGGGATCAAATTCCTGCAGCAGCGGCAGCTTTCCGTTTGTCTGCCGCAAGGGATGCTAGTTACCTGGTCTACATAGGTTCGTCTTCCGGTCATCGTCTGTTCAGTCCGGTGAATTTACTCTGCCATAAGGTATTGGGGTCCTCTTTTGCACTTATGCTTATATGTTCGTGTGGGTTTACACCGGCGAAATCAATGCGAAGAGGGTCCGTGAACGCTACCTGCGTGCAGTGCTGGGGCAAGATATTCAGTATTTCGATAAGGTTGGAGCTGGAGAAGTTGCGACACGCATTCAGACCGATACACGTATGTTTTCGTGGTTTCGATCTGTCACCTCCGGTGGCTCATGTCTCGTCTGGTAGATCTTGTCCAGCAAGGAACATCTGAAAAAGTTGCATTGGCCGTGAATTTCCTGGCCTCTTTCATCTGTGGTTTCGTCCTTGCTTATGTCAGGTCGTGGCGCCTTGCCTTGGCTCTGTCTTCGATGTTGCCTGTTATTGGAATCACTGGTGCTATCATGACCAAGTTTATGTCCAAGTTCATGCAGTATGTTATTCCATTTTAAATGCCTGGTTACGTTCTTACTGTTGCTTTAGGAGTTCTCTTAAGCACGTCGCGGAGGGTGGTAGTCTAGCGGAAGAAGTTATTTCGACAGTTCGCACTGCTCAGGCGTTTGGTACTCAAGTGGTCCTTTCCAACCTGTATAACATCTTTGTCGACAGGGCCCTCAAAGCCGATGTAAGAGCTGAAGTTTGGCAGGGTTCAGCATTTGGTGCCTTCACTTTCGTGATCTATGCTGGTTATGCTCTAGGTGCGTTGATGAGCCCGTTCCTCATAACATGTGGCTGATATCCTACAGCTTTCTCGTTCGGAACGACCCTTATTAATGCCAATGACGGTAAGTGTCCTTTTGTGACACTGCGTGTTCTGAGTAGCTAAGTTCTGGCTATAGCTGACGCTGGGGCCGTCGTAAATGTCTTCATGTCAATTCTCATCGGTTCTCTTGCGATCGTTCAGCTTGAGCCAGAGTTACAGGGTACGTATCAGGATTAATTTACACAATTAATCTTCTTGACCATGGACTACAATCAGCTATCACTCGCGGCCGAGGGGCTGCAGCACAACTCTACGCCATAATGGACCGAGTTCCTGACATCAACTCCGCGAACCCTGACGGTCTCAAACCTGGAGTTGTCGATGGGGAAATCTCACTTGAAGATGTCAAATTCACATATCCCTCTCGCCCGAATGTACCAGTCGTCAAAGGACTTAGTCTGACATTCAAGGCGGGAAAAACTGTGGCACTTGTCGGCGCTTCTGGTTCAGGCAAATCTACGATTATATCTCTTGTCGAGCGCTTCTACGATCCCACTTCTGGTGTCGTCAAGCTGGACGGCGTGGATCTCAAGGAACTCAATCTGAAGTGGTTACGATCGCAGATTGGCCTCGTCTCTCAGGAGCCTACCCTTTTCGCCACTACTATCAAGGGCAACGTTGCTCACGGTCTCATTGGTACCAAATACGAGAATGCTTCCGACGAGGAGAAGTTTGCT